GTGCATGTCTGTAATCCCAGCTACTTGGGAGGCTGAGGCATGAGAATCGCTTGAACCCTGGAGGCAGAGGTTGCAGTAAGCTGAGATCATGCCACCACACTCCAGCCTGGGTGACAGAGTGAGGCTCTGTCCTCCCTCCCAAAGAAAGTCATGTGTTCGGTAAATATTTCTTTAACATATGTACCTGACACTGTTCTAGGCATTGGAGATTGAACGGTGAACAAAACAGAAAAGAATACCTCTGTGTAGTTTATGTTCTAGTAGGCAAAGCAAAGTGTATTAAGAAGTATAATATGCCAAAAGATAAGTGCTGTGGAGAAAAATAAAGGAGAAAAGCTATGAAGTGCTGGGATGGGAAGTGAGCGATTTTAATTAAAGTCACAAATACATTTCCCTAAATGGGCTAATTGTTGGTTTTAATATTAATTTAATGTGTAATTATATTCTTAGGAATACGGTTGTACTCTTATTAATTTCTGTATAATCTCTTGTGTTCAATGTCTAGTATCTTTTGTCCTGAATGCCAAGTAGATCTTGTGAGAAGCAGGTGGCACTCCTGTGTTGCCCACCAGAGAGCAGACTTGGATATCTAAAGCTCACTGCCCAGGGAATGATTTTTCAGAATTGCCGAGTCTCTTATCAAGGAAATAAAGTATCAGAGACCGTGGAAGTTATTCTTTGGAGCATTTTTTTAAAATTAGGGCTCATTTAGGCTGGGTGTGGTAGCTCACGCCTGTAATCTAAGCACTTTGGATTACTCCTGAGGTCGGGAGTTCAAGACCAGCCTAACCAACATGGTGAAACCCTGTCTTAAAAAAAAAAAAAAAATTCGAGCTCATTTAACTGTCGTTATTTGGTGCAGAGTCAAATATTCCTTCTGAAATGTTACAGACTGAAATATTAATGACTTTGGATAATTTATAGTAATGGTAAACAAATAGTATAAAACAAAGCAACATGTCACAAGTTACAAAGTTTTACTAGAATCTAAAGAGAAATATCACCCTTATCCTTATTTATGCCTTAGTTGTATCTTTGATAAAGTGCAGATTTATAAAACATAGGTGATAGGGCATAAGTATTGTCTTACAAAAGGACTCACTATAGAATTCATTTAGATAGCAGAAATGTGGATTTCCTCTAATGTATTTGGAAGAAGGAGGAATTTAACACTTTTTATTTCAAATAGGGAGTCAAGTGCATAATAAGTTATTTTGCGAATTATAGTGTAAAACATTTGTATTTGTCTTTAGAATATGTTTAAAAGTGAACAGAAATTCACATAGTTATCTTTGTCTTAATTGGGCCTGGCCTTGCCTCTCCTTTTTTGGCCAGGGCCTGGCTGAGCAGGATTTACCACCCTTGGGTAACTGAGAATTGATCTAATTGATTCCACTACTACATGTAGATAAACATGTAACAATAGTTACTAGTTGAACGTACACACTATTTAAGTCTTTAAAACCTTTCTAATCTAAACATATTCTGACTGTACACCTTCATTATCATTGACTTGATTGTAGTTACCAGTGGCAGTGTCCTCCTCATAATGACAGATGCCTAGGTTGTCATTTGTAACCTTGGCACTGAGCAAATGCAAAATGACTGTTCCATGTGAATCCCAAGCAGAGCTTATTAATCCTTGGCTAGAGTAACTTAATTATAGTTGCTTATGTGATACCCTGCCTCTTCTTTTCTGTGGTAGAAACTAACTTGAGAGTGACACAATGTTAAAGAGAGATTATTTAATGACCAGATGTTCAGGCCCTGACACATATAATAAATCTTAATAAAGGAAGGTTCTTGGAAAACAGAACAAAACAAAATGGCAAGCATAACTTCTGTAAGATAACTTGCTTCTGTTAAGATATTAGAATCACAGCAGTGAAGAACAAATTGCTCATACACACAGCAACATGTGTGAATTTCACAGGTATTATGTCCGCCAAAGGACGCCACACACAAAAGATAATATGTTCTTTGAATACTTATATGTGAAGTTAAAGGACAGGCAAAAGTAATCGATGGTTATAAAGTAAAAATGGTGGTTATCTGGTGGAAGTTGTGAGTTATTTACAGCAAAGGGGCCAGAGAACCTCCAGAGCCCTGGAAATGTTCTGTATATTAATGTGAATGATGGTTACATGGGTGTATATGTATGGTTTTTTTAAAATGAAATTGAGCTGTATACTTAAGATTAGTGTGTTTTACACACTTAACATATGTTATGCCTGAGTTAAAAAGTAAGAAAAAGAAATTAGGTCACGGAGTTTGGATTTGTTGTGGGAGGTAATAGAGAAGCATTGGATCTTCAACAGGGAAGTGAGTTGACAAAAGTAGTGCTTTTAACATTTCTTATCCTGTGGTGATGCGGAGAAAGGAACAATGTTCAGATCAACTGGTATACCTACCTCATGTCCCTAGCCCTGCTAGATGCTATAAAGGACACAAAATATCCATGATCATGTTCTTTAAGAAGTTTATAATCTTTTATGAGAGACAAGTTATATGAACCCTACAGAGTTACAGTAAATGGTAGATAGATGGAGTTTTGGAAACAGCATTAAAGTCAGACCTGTGTTCAAATCCTAATTCTGCCATTTACTGGCTCTATGACTTCGGGCAAGTGATTTATTTCCCTGAACCATGATTTCTTTATCTGTAGAAGGGGGATAATATCTACTATCTTTGTTGAGAGACTTAAGAGATATGATAGTGAAAGATAGTACAGCACAGTAGATGGTCAGTAAATCTTCCCTTTTTTAATCCTGTAGCCAAGGAGCAATACTTTGTTGTTGTTGTTGTTGACAGCATGTGACCTCAGTTTAGATTGTGGTTTTCTGCTTGGGCTATATGACCTTAAGTAAATTACTTGGTTTCTTTGTGTCTCAATCTCTGATTAAAAAAGAACAAGAAGAAAAAAAAAGGTGAGGGGGCAGTGGAGGGAATTATACCTTGAGAGGGTATTATGAGAATTAAGTGGACCTAGCAGATACATAGTATCTAGCACAAAATAGGCACACTTGGTAAATATAGAATTTGTTTCTCTTGAACGTGATAGCAGATACAAATGTGTGGCATAAATAACCCAGGTAGTAGGTGATTGGATCAGGGTGGTGACTGTAGGTGTAGAAGGGAGAGACAGATCATAGTGTTACATTTTTAAAAAGGACATTTGATATAGAAGAGCAAGTACTTGCAGCTTAGTGCAGTGGCTCACGCCTGTAATCCCAACACTTTGGGAGGCCGAGGCAGGCAGATCACAAGGTCAAGAGATGGAGACCATCCTGGCCAACATGGTGAAACACCGTCTCTACTAAAAATACAAAAAACTTAGCTGAGCATGGTGGTGCGTGCCTGTTGTCCCAGCTACTTGGGAGGCTGAGGCAGGAGAGTTGCTTGAAACCAGAAAACGGAAGTCGCAGTGAGCCAGAATCACTACCACTGCACTCCAGCCTGGCAACAGAGCGAGACTCTGTCTCAAAAAAAAAAAAA